ACGACATAACGGAAATAATTATTCAATTACTAATTATCCCGTAATCACTATGTTACACTTTAGTGAAAGAAAAAAACTAATGACGTGCGTATTTTTCTATCGATGAATCTCCAATAGAAAAGTATCATTTTTCATATAATTATTGATAAATTGCTATAAGACAAGATATAAAATACGGATGTACGATTTAACAATAACTCGATCGTTCTAGTATACGAAAGTGACGTTCTAAATCGATGATCCGTATTGAAAAGAATAATCCGTCGATCGGATCACCCGGTATATAGATCAACCGTACACGATGCTGCCTCGATGGCGTGGCGTTCTTGGCAGATAATTATCACTAACCATCAGCTATTTGCGAGGAATGGCTGATAATTGCAACGTTGTTCAAGCTCTACCGAGCGATAACCCGCCTAGGACTCCTTTTAGACAAGCACTCGCGGTCACTGCGGTTCCCACCTCCTCCTCCTTCTCCTCCTTCTCCTCCTCCTCTTTCTCCTCCTCCTTTTTCTTCTTCTCCTCCTCCTCTTCCTCCTCCTCTTCCTCCTCCTTCTCTTTCTTAACCTGCTCCTTCCCTCAAGCAGCATGCTTTTTTATGGCCTCGTCGCCTTGTTTCCTTCGCATGGCATTTCAAAGGAGTCACGTCACGTTCGACTAAAACGACTTAAACTAATAAATAAACAAATGGAATGTTTATTAATAATATCAATTACAATTCAAATTAAGTACGATAACATGTAAATGAAAAGATATATAAATATAAAGAACGGTATAAAGAACGAAAAATATAGCGAGCTTTAATTATTCGATTATTTAACATTTCCGAATAACGACGTTTTCGACATTTATGTCAGAAAGGAGAGAATGATCGATAGATATTCTAACTTCTTGTCTCAAGCATAGTAACGTTAAAAGACTTATCTACATCTGTCTTGTAAGTTAGCGTTCAGCCACGGAAATTATAAAGCTCTATGTAAGAAAAATATTCAAACAAGTTACGATGTGAACGTGTTTTCCTCGGATCTTACATAGACAAGGAGTGAATATATCGAAACTACCGGTTGCTATATTACCTGATATTATTACCGATGAAATTACTACCGGTCGTGTGACGACGAATCTTCAGAATGTATCTGACATGTTGAAAAAAGAAAGAAAGAAAGAAAGAAAAAAGACAAAAAGAAAAAGTGGAAGTACGTTGCATCCTCACTCTGCAAATCATTTTTCGATGTACGGAACATAGTATCTAACGATTTGCGTCACGCAAATACTCATGGTAAACGTTGATTTTAATACATTCATCTTCGAGTCTTGATTACCGTCATCGTATGACGTTAATGAGTTGGAGAAACGACAAGTGGGCTCCGGATAACAAGTAGGCGAACTCATCGAACTGCCATTGTTTCTAGTATTATATGCGAACATCTAATTATAATAGGAAATGTAAACATCAAATTAAAATATTTTTCCAAGCCAATAAATTCCCAACAAGTTTAAAATTAACATTATAATTGATAAAATATCGAGTCATTGAAAAATCTCATAAATGTAAAAATTGAATCTCACCCCTTAATACAGCAACGCTGTAATGAACAGACATAATATCTATAAAGTAAAAAATTATAAAATTATCATCTATAAAGACACCAAAATATGTATATCTTTGTTGTGATTTTCTTAACTGACTGTAATTTTTATTTAACTGCCAAGAATTTCTCTCAAGGACTTCCTTTAGATCGGTGTAAAATGTAATAACGTAATCCTTGTATCAACGAATCGAACAGCAGTAGAATTCAGTGCTACCTTAGCTCGCTCCTTCTGGTATTAAATTGGTTAGAGTGGGAGAAGAGAACAAGCACGCTACGTTAACGCCACGTTACGAGCTCACTCACGAAGCGCGCTGCTTGGATAACTCTCTTATTGCCCTGTAAATCGTAATGTTACACCAGCAATTTAATAAGCCAGCCGCGTTCACTTATCCCCACTGACGAGCACGGGCGCACATAATAATGTTAATGGTGGCGAGTATATCTTCTAGGACAGCGGAGAGGCTGGTAAACGCACGTACATATATATATGACTACACCCACGTGAATCCATCCGCTTGTCCAGAGCTTGGACGATTCCTACGGAAATCTTCCATCTATGTACAGGGTGATTCTAAAGTAATCTATAATTTTATACATAATAAAATTCCATGCGTTTGTACGGTCCTTGTAATCTTTTTCCTTTTTCTTCTTTGTTTGTTCTTTCTTATATGAAACAATTTTAGTCAAATTGATACATTTGTCTAATATCTTTTTTTATTTTTTCTAGACAAATAAAAAGATATAAGAAAATTTATTGTCATACTTTTTACTTAAGACCTTACCGTTAGCAGAAAGTATACTTTTGACATTTTAAATCTTCCTTGTCTACAAAATTGAATATTAAACACCCGGGACTCAGGTGACGTTCGATTTTGACGAAGAAAAATCGTTCAAGGATATACAAGTAGAATTGCCATGGACACATAGATCAGTAATAAAATCCATTAATATCATTGATGAAGTAATTATTTCGAATGATCGTCATCGAAGATCGATAGGATTCAATCATCAATGATAAAATAAATGATAAAAAAAAAAGAAAAAAGGAAAGAAGAAAACGAAAAAAACCTACATCCACACCACGGTCCAAGGTGAGTTCGCTAATCGAGCAAGACTCTCTCTTAGCGACTCTCTGTAACGATCGATAAAAGTTAATTTGCGGCTGACAAGCGCGGATTACCGGCGAGCCGCTCGCGCGACGATTCGCTTTACTTTCAGCCAATATCATAATTAAGGCGTAATGTTTAAGATACAAAGGTGATAAATCAAATAATTACTTTTCCATATAAGAGGACCCCGATGTAGGGATGATCAATGGCAATGTCGTGCCTCGCAAATCGTACCGGTTAAACGAATTTTAATTCAACCGTATGTGTACACATACACGTATACACACACATGGACATACGTCCGAATAATAAAACTTTCAATCTTGTGAAAGGCACGATCGTAAGATGGTTATCGAGATTATAGAAACGCCTTAACGCTCGGAAAATTTACGAGCTACTTTTTATATCCCGATTTATGTTTATATATATGCATATATGTATATATGTATATATGTATGTGTACATATATATACATATATATATGTATATAAACATGTACATATTTATATAAATAAATAAATAAATATATATATATATATATTCATTTGTTGTTAATCGTCCGGATGGAAATTACTATTAGATATTTCAACATTTCTTAATGTTGTTATATCAACTAAAATTAATAGCCTGCGTTTCCTTTATTCATTTTCAACATTTAATATTCCTTTAATTCATAATAATTTATTTGTACATCTATATCAATTATTTCGACATATTTTCTTTATTGTTTTTCATGGTAATTATATTTATTTCATAATTGTATTATTCGATTATTATAAACAATTGATTCGTTTCCATCGTTATCTACAGTGTTCGTAATGTAGATACATACGTTAAACGTCAGTAAAATTGTGATTATCCTCGAACGAGATTCTTATTATAAATTGATCTCTCTCCTTCTTTCTCTCTCTCTCTCTCTTTCTCTTCAATGCGCGCGCAATTCGACTCTCTTCGTCGTGACCAGTCTTTAGAGGCGGCTCTTAATTTAATATTCTTTGTGCGTCCTGGAAGCTATTCACCTCGATTATTCGTCATTCGCCTCTTGACGTTCGAAGAAGAAAATAAAAAAAAGAGAATAGTAAGAGGAGAGAAAACATTACTCGGCGCAATCTCGACGTAAGAAAAATTACGAAGTCGGACGGCGAACACGCTTGACCGTGCTACCTGAAAAAAAGAAAAAAGACAGAAAGAGAAAGAATAGAAAAAAAGTTAAGAAAGAAAAAAGTCTAATTCAAAGATTAGTTATGTGTCTTGGTAAAGCTATCCTTTGTAAATGTTAATAATTAAACTAATAACTTCGTTCGCCCCTTTTAACGAGGACTTCTTTTCTATACATATATATATTATATCGTGTTCATTAAAATTATATTAAATCTACTTATCTTTATAATGCCATCTTATTAAGATTTTTCTAAAGATAATATAAACATTTTAAAAACTCGTCTTAAACGAATAGAATACGAGTTTGATACTTACTTAACAAATTGTATACGATAAAATAAATAATCGGTAATCGAAGGAAGTTAAGTATAGAAATAAATCGAGTTGGTTCGACCTCTAGTTAGCAAAAGAGAAACGAGGCTACGCTGAGTGCTTCGAGAACAGAGTAGTATATAGGGAGTAAGAGAAGGAAACAAAGAGAAAAGTGAGTACAAATGAGTGAGGAAGGAGAGAAGAGAAGAGCTGAGTTGAGTTGAATTGAGTTGAATTGAGTTGAGTTGAGTTGAGTTAGGTTGAGTTGAGTAGAAGAGAGTAGAGGAAAGTAAAAAGAAAGAGAAAAACAAAAAGAGAGAGAGAGAGAGAGAGAGAGAGAGAATGAGGAGGCGGGCGAAAGCGATGCGTGTGGGTTCAGAACGAGGGTGTCGGGTTACCAATGAAATAGTGGTACCATTTTGTTTACAATATTGTCGGGGGTGTTGCCAAGAGAAAGGAAAGAAAGAAAGGAAGAGAGAGAGAGGGAGAGAGAGAGAGAAAGAAAGAAATAAAAATAAAGAGAAGGGAAGTGTGTATGCACACACTTAAACTCCTTCTCGCACGCCGCTCGAAATACCGTGTAGAATGTCCAAGCAGGAGAGTCATGTGTACAAGGTCCACCGATCCGGAAGAATTATCTTCTGCTGCAGTCCGCAGGTTCTCCAGAAGGATCTTGATTGGACCGATCCTTACACACACTTATATAAAATGCTGTGAGAGGTAAAGATTACCGTATTTTTTCTCTTCTCTCTCTCTCTCTCTCTCTTTCCTTCTATTTTTTTTTCATTCTTTCTATCTGTCTTTCTCTCTATACTCGACAATACGACTTTATCGTAATGAGAAATCCGAGAAAGCAAATCTCGTAATTAAAGGTATAGCCAAAGACGAATCTGAATAATACTCGGACCGCCCAAGGATCCTCGAACGGAATCGAAATCGAGCTAACTTTTCGTGCACATTCGTACCTATTCGAATACGATGAGACTTCTCGGCCATTACTCGTACTCGAAGCAGAGGTACTCGTAGAAATGCAAATCCAAGGGAAATCGTGGGGATTCGCTCGAAAGGGTGGAGGCTCGGGGAAGAAGTTAACTGGACAAACATGTAGTTACGTGGCCGACGTTGGCCCAGGTTATGATAGGTTCGCGTGGCTGGCCCACATTAGACAGAGATCGAGGAATCGCGATCTAGAATCGTAGAAATCCTTCCTGAGTCGGATGATACTCGGTTATTAGATGTTACACACCATGCACATGCTGTAGTCAACTCACCCTCTTTTTCTTTTTTTTCTCTTTCTCTTTCTGTTTCTCTCTCTGTCTCTCTATCTGTCTGTCTCTTTCTTTCTTCTTCTCTATCTTATTCTCCTTCTCGCAACCCTTTCATGTACTCTAAGAAACAGACTGGTAGGTCGACCTCCCGTCTTCGATTCGACCTATCGACGTTACGTTCCTACGATCGAATGATTTCTAGCGTGTAATTCCATTTCTTCGATTACCTTTTCTCTCTCCCTTAACTCGAAAGAGAGAGAGAGAGAGAGAGAGAGAGGAATCCCTCACGATTCGGGAGAAGAAAATTGCTGGACACCTTCCTTTCGTCGAACTACCGAGAAACTCTAACTTTTACTTCTCAAGAGATGAGGAAACGAATTGGCCACTTGAAAATTTGAAATTGATCCATCGAATATTTTGTTCGTTCTTAAAAAATATCGTAAATAATTAAACATGTTTCATCCTTACCTATTAAACTAATATATATTCAGTCATACTATATATATATATATATATATATATATATATATATATATATATTCTATCTATATATTCGAATAAATAAATAAGATATAAACAAGTAAAATCCTTTACATTAGAAAATTCTCAATAGTGTTTATACGAAAAATGAATATTTCACGGTTTCACGAAAAAATTCGAAAAAGAAAGATATAAGAAAATTTTTGATTTCCTCATTTTTATCGGAATAATTACTTATGCATTCTAGTACAATATAAAAGAGTCATAAAAAAAAAGCAAAGGCTCCGTCGAAGTCGCAAAGTCGAAGTGTAGTTACGAGAGACGAGTATTCATTAAGCCAATTCCACTTTATTCGAAGAGAGTTCCTCCCCTATCCCCGTCGGCAAACCGAGGTAACTTTCGTTCCTTCGACTAAAGTAAATGTAGCTTCTACGCTGACTTTCGACTGGGCTGGCCCCGCGAACTGGTATAATCAAATCTCCAAATAATACCAAGGAAAATAAATGATAATATAAACTATGTTCGTCTATACATACGTGGATTATCAATGTTTATCATTATTATCGGTTTAAATAATTACATTAACAAAATAGAACAAATGGATGTAAGTATTTTTTAAAATTCTTTCCTTATTCTGTAAAAAGAATTATATATATTCTTTTTTTTTTTTAAAGATAGAACGATTTGTTTTTATAAAAGTAAGATCAAAACTGGAAATATTCTAACAGTGTATGGTTTACATATATTAAAACATAAGACTATATAGTACTTTGAAAGATTTATAAAATTAATTTTAAATTATTATTTAATCCGTTTTCTTGATAATTTTTAAGAATATTAATGTATAATATTTAAAAAGATAAGCGAGTGTATAAAAAAGAATAAAAAATACCAAAATATGTATTACATAATACGTAGATGTAAAATTAAATTAAAAATGTAAACTTACATTTTAACTTATACAATAGATTTAAAAATAATATTTCCACTTTTGATATTCTTGTTACAAAACGATCACATTACATCGCTCGACCTTTTACGATCATCAAGCTCAAAAAGAGAAAGAAAAAAAAATAAGAGACAATCGATCGTGACGTATCGTCCAACTTTAATTTGGATTTTACGAGCTTCGTTAGTTGCACCCGTCGGTGGTCCAATCGGATGGACCGATGCGTTTCATCATTCGTAGATACATTACTCTCATCTATGTTGATACATACATAGGTACGTAAATAAGTACATACATACGTACGTAGACACACACAAATACACATACTTGTGGATTTATTTCGTGCCACACATTCACGTGAAAAAGGTCGTGTCGGGCGCTTGTTATTCAAATGCAAACATCGCTACGGCAAAGGGACACCCACCCTACCAACATCCCACTGACTTATTAGCGTGAAGAAATCGAAAATCCTTGGAGTTGTTCGGAATGCAAAGAAGGGTATCGAGTAACTCGAAGAAAAATAAAAGCAAATCTAAACTATTATTTTCTTACACGAAAGTACATTTCATTAAGTATCTAAATAAGTGTTCTTCCACTTGAGTAAACGTTTAAAATAAATATACAACGAAAAATAAAATGAAGAAAAGAAGATAAGGAAAGTTTAAGGAATCTTTTCACGTGGCTTTTGGCTACATTTCCCTTCACTGAGTTCATTTACGTGAGTCTCTTCGGTCAGGGCAGCGACACGCGTGGAACATTTGTCAGACACTTTAAGACCTGTCTGGCCATTGTTTTCCCATCGATTCCGGCTTGGAAAGCACGGCTTTAACCGGTGTTTTACACGCTCAGTTCCTGGAACCGGATCCTCCATCTGGGATCTCAAGCTTGTGGCATCCGAGAACGGTGAGGAGAGAAATAGAAAAAGTGAAAGAGAGAAAGAGAGAGAGAGAGAGAGAGAGAGAGAGAGAATGAAGAAAGAACGGAAGAAGAAAGAGAAAGAGAGAGGACCAGGTATACATGGCCTGGAACTCGAGGCCCATTTCGCCTGTCAAGCCCTCTATTCGGTTGGCTGTGCAGGTACTTTCGCTCTCCCCTTCTTCTTCTTCTTCTTCTTCTTCTTCTTCTTCTTCTTCGTCTTCTTCTTCTTCATCTTCATCTTCTTCTTCGTCTTCTTCTTCTTCTTCGTCGTCTTCTTCGTCTTCTTCTTCATCTCCTTCTTCTTTTTCTTCTTCATGATCTCGCTTTCTTTCGTTTCTCCGACAGTTTATGGTCATCATTATTTTCCACCGTGGCTCAACTTGGATTAAACGATTTGTTCGTGTTCACGGGTTATTTCATTGGTCACACGTATCACATCGGTCACCCGCTGCGATATCGATACTGAAACATCTTCCTTAATCCTTGGTTATGCTCATCAAATCACCGTAGCTAATCATCTTAACTCTTTCAATTCACTTTTTTACAAAAATTGGTATAACATATAATATAACAAGTATGATGTATCCCAGGAAATATATAATTTATTTTAAATTCTTGTTAGGTTTAATTATTTACGTAATATAGAAATAAGAGAAAAATAAAAATGTATTAGAAATTTTGAAATTCAATTGGAAAATTATTTGAAGAAGATTATGACTCTTTGTACATTGGAAACTCTTTTCTTTCATCTTACTCTATCCATTTATCTTGTTTAATTTGCATACCACACTCGGTAACGCCATATCATGTCGTTAAATGTATAATGTGAATTTTACTTAACCTTTGCGATAATGAAAGTATGAACTTTCTCTTAATTCGCACGAAACAACGAAACAGTCTCTGTTTATAAATAATCCAAACATAAAACAATAAATATGATCTACAAGTTTTTCTTTACGTTATGTATCTCATATCATTGTTCGAAAAATTAATATTCTTTATTTCCACTATTATCTACGTAAAATTAAATGAGTCATATATTGTTGACAGAAAATACACAAAAAAAAAATATCATTAAACACATAATCATATAACGGTAAATCAAAATAATCATAAAATACTTATTATATTTATATGTGCGTATGTGATTTGTATTATTCATAAAGTCAATCAAAGTAATACAAAAATCTTCTTCTCTTTAAGATATTAAATACAATATTATTATTCTCGATTCTTCATAAAACTCTTATCCAGTCGTTATCGATGACCTTATTTTACGCGCTTTTTTCTTTCAACACTTAAAATACTCGAAAGCTATATTATAAAAAAACAAGCAAAAAAAAGACACACAAAGAGAGAGAGAGAGAGAGAGAGAGAGAGAGAGAAGGAGAGAAAGAGAAAAAAAGTAATTTAATGAATATTGGATCGTTGAACGTCATCATTCGAGGTTATCATCGTTATCGCGTTAGCGAGTCATTACGGACCTACCGAATATGTTGCACAGGCCGAACGAAGCAGGGAACCACGGAAAACGAGCTTACAGAGGTTATCTCCTCTATAACCAGTTACAAGCCGGTCGGATGCTAAACGGACAAAAAGGAAAAGCGAAAGATCGCATTTTTACGCGTTGCCGGTTAACACGAAAGAAAGCAATGAATTTCTTCTTATCTTTGGGGAACCTTAAAATCGTACAAGCTATATTATCTCGATCGTTTACAAATCTGCCGAATAAAAAGGATAAGTATGGGATAAAATACAACGTAGGTAAGACGTAAAATAATGAGCGTAAAAATCAGATACGTAGATACGTATATGTTTAATAGAAAGAAAAAATTATTATATTGATTAATTCTCTCTCTCTCTCTCTCTTTCTTTTTCTCTAACTTTCATACTAAAATAAATACTGGTAATAATTACATTATATAATAATAAAGGTTTACTTACAAGCGTCTAAATATATGAAATATAATCCTGGACTGAACCAAAACGTAAGATGTCTACGGTTCCTTCAAAATGACTTTTAAAAGGTCTAAGCACTGATATTATCAACAAGGGTCTGGAAACAAGAAAAGAAAAGGACAACAGAAAGAAAGATTCATTCTCTGTGTTATTATGTTTTTAATAGCGACCTTACTTATTATATTTTTTCAATGAATTACTTTTATAGAGATAAACAGTTCCATACGTTTAGATCGTCAAATGTTATGAAAATGGTTTTATGAACCAATTATTTTTTAAAGGAAAAAAAATAAACCAAAAAGTAAAAAAGAAAGGGAAAAATAAAAAAAAAATATAAGAGAAGAGACTAGTCACCTTTCGTAGGAGCAATTTGCAGCATCGATAGACTGGTTTTCGTGACGTTGAACACATCGACTATCTTCGTGGACACTCGTAACCAACAATATACTCGTTGAGTACTGGTTATGATGAATGAAGGAGCAAGAAGGAGGTAGGAGGAAAGAAGGCAGAGCGTTCCGTAGGGCAGAGGTGTCGTTACGTCCTCCTCGCACTCTTATATCTTCTCCTTACTCTTTCTCTCTCTTTCCCTCTCTCTCTCTCTCTCTCTCTCTCTCTCTCTCTCTCTTTCTCTCAAAGGAAGTAACAGTATCTGAAAGTGGATGGATTCCGTGCGAAGTGTGTGAGATGTGCAGGGACCATGTGGATTGTGTGTAGAATGAACGCAAACTGTGAGGGTAATTTGCAACACTGGCAATTTACATAATTAGCAGTTCTGAACTCCAGTCCCTTGAACGACCCCCACCCCCAAGATATTTCTACTCTTTCTCTCTCCTCTCTTTTTCTCTTTCTCTCTCTCTCTTCCTTTCTCTCTCTCTCTCCCTCTCTCTCTTTCTCTCTCTCTTTCTCTGTCTGTCTTTTTCACTCACTCAACTTCCTTGCCATACCACTTACCTGCAAAGCCAAAGCAAAAGAAAGAGAACAGCAAGAACTCCAAGAACCAAAACGTGCTCCCGAACGAAACAGTGGCGTAGAATTCCATAAACTATCGACTTCCATCAGACAATTTGTTAATGTCTATTTTTTATTTATTATCATCTAGTTCGAAATAAATAATTAACTTTATCGGCTCACTACGATCAATTATCTAGGACGATAATAATTAATAATTCATATATATAATGATCAATAATCTAAATAAAATACAATTTAGATTTGGTACATATGTTTATTATTTATAACGGATATTATAAATAATGAACATACCTCTCGATAATAAAATGAAATCGATTAATATTTAAAATTATATAAACTCGTCAAATGAAAAACTATGAAAGAATCTAACGAATTTTATGTAATTGATAGAATCGGGCGAATAATATTCTGTCCGTCGTTCTGTTTGCCTCTCTCACTCTCTCTCTCTCTCTCTCTCTCTCTCTCTCTCTCTCTATCTCTATCTCTCTCTCTCTCTCTCTCTCTCTCTCTCTCTCTTTCTTTTTCTCTTTCTGTTTCTGGTAATACGGATAAACAAACTTGCTCGAATGATAAATGCGATATAATTATAGATCGAACGTCGAAACAATCTTCTAAAACATCGTGGCGACCGACGGAGAACGAGATAAATGAATCTGGAACGGCGCTCCTTCGCGCTAATTACCAGTTGAGTGAGTAATAAGCGATTAACAGTGGCACGCCTACCAAATGTAAATGAGTCTCGTTTGGGAAGACGATCATCGCGGAAGTTAGAAAGAGTTTAAATGAGTCGATCGTCGAAAGAAAAAGAAAGAAAGAGAGAGAGGATAGGTTTATTATAACTTATTTATTATTAAAATCGATGCTTAAAATGCAAACGTTTGATCTACGATCACCTTCGTTATTCTAATATTAACATGCTTTAATATGTAATTGTCACATGATTTCGATATCTCGTTTATCTTTCGAAATTCCTCGTGGGTGTATCGATCGATCCGGTCCCCTTTTCGTTTTTGAATAATTATGCGTCGAAAAAAGGTCGGGCCCAAAATACATCGCGTGCCTCTACTAGCCGATTCTCTTTTTCTCTCTCTCTCTCTCTTTCTTTCCCTTTCTTTTTCTCTCTTTCTCTCTTTTTCTTTTTCTCTCTTTCTCTCTTTCCCTCTACCTTTCTCTACATCCTCGACAAACCTTTTAATTTCAAACGAAACGATTTCACTGTCGACTCGTTACGCGAGTTTCTCTATGTAAATGCCCAGAAATGTGACGTATTATAGGCAGGATATCTACTCGAAATAATGATCTGACGATGTTGAGAAGGATCGAGAACTTACGATTCTCTCTCTTTCACTCTCTTTTTCTTTCTTTTTCTCCTTCCATCTCTTTTTTTCTTTCCTTTTCTTTGTCTGAAATTAAACTCCGATAAAAATCACATCCTTTCCTTGAAAATCTTTTGAAAGAATAATATTTACATCCTTTCGATCCCAAGCACGCATGCATATATAGGTAAGCAACCCCGTTATATGCACACGAACGCTTAATTACGGTGGAGAACTTCCATGTGCCATAATTATTCATTTTGGAAGCGGCGATTATAAAGCGATTACGTGGAAGAATCGTTTCTTATCTTCGCGTAGAAAGAACTTCCGAAAAGGAGAGGGCATACACGATCATTTTCGCGTTGGCAATTTGTCGGACACGTTGCATAGTTATAAAGCGGTAATCAAGGATGATCATTGCATTAATATCATGAGTTTAAAAGCACCGTTTTCATCATCGCGAAATTGCTCCACGAGGAGTCGGGGGTTGGAGGTGATCGAGGAGGGAGCGAAAGGGACATAGGGGGTGGGGTGAAGAGAAAGATCGTAATCGCGATCGCGTCGAGAGCAAGATGTTTTACGTCGAGAAAGACGATTTATCGATCTTTCGATGAATAAACCGTTCGAACGAAGCCACGGAGAGGCCCAATTACTTAAAGTCGATTCTCTTCTATCGCCATGGATCGGCCGGCATTGTTTCAACGGTATATATTACAATTCCGTTCTACTACCATTTTAACTTTCTCATCGATATTCTTTAATAAATCGAGAGAACCTATCGTAACTCTGTTAGATTTATCGCGCGATCAATCGCATTGGCACGATTTTCGAAAGTTTTTACGTCATCTAAAGATACGAATAGCAACGAATAAACGTAAATATGTTATAAATAGAAATTTCATTCTTATCTTATTCGGGAGAAATAAAACGACAATATATCGTTATCGTTGATTGCGTCGATATAATTTATTTCGCTATATCGTTAAAGCACGAACTGAATCTTCGGGACGATCGTACAATTCTATGTCTTCGTACGACAAATAAAATCACAATTTCTTATTTACAAGATTATTTACATTTAGTATGGGACATATTTTACTACACGACCGTCGGCGAAAAACGAATTATTCTTTTCTTTTTATTTTTTGTTTTTCTTCGAATTTCAAAGCGGAAGATTCATTTGTTTTTTTTTTCTTTAAATCGTTTCTTACAGTTTAATTTGTTTTTCTTTATATTTCATGAAACGACGAATGTCTTCTGTGTTTGAAACAATATTTCAACTATTTACATTCAATTTTTCATTGAGATCAAAATTTCTAATTTTTTTCTATTTCTCTCTCTCTCTTCCTCTCTCTCTCTCTCTCTCTTTCTCTCTCTCTCTCTCTCTCTCTCTCTCTCTCTCTCTCTATTGTTCAGAATACGAAACTCGAACGAGTACACTTTTCGCACTACAAGATCCTTTATTAATTTTAACTAAAGAATCCAATATAACGAAAAACTTTTGCCGAGAGTCGTGATGCAAAATATAGTTTTATAAGTATCGTCCATAATAATTTAAATCGCCGGTATATTTTCGATACATCGATTGACGAAAGGAATACTGCTCGTTCATAGAACAACGACCTAAGATACGACTTTTTGAATACGTCTTGTGTGTTTTTTTTAGTTTACACTGTCTCTCTCTCTTTCTCTCTCTTCTTAAGTATTACGACGTTTGGCACTAGCTTTATCGTCCTTGTATTCGTCTATATACACATAATTTCGATCGATCGGACGAGATCGATCGTTATCGAAAAATTGTCTTTTACACCTTTCTATTTACACACACTTGCGACGTTTCGTCTCGTCTCGTCTTTATGGCGCATTAATTATGGCAAGACGACTATGGGCTACTGATGATCGAAGGATTCTAACCATCTTGACATTAATATAACCATTATGAAAATACAATGCGTATATCAGAAAATGTTTAACTTACGAAAACTTGTTTATCTCAGAAAAAAGCGAAATTTTTAACTTACGGGAACTTATTTATTTCCTACTTTTGTTCCCTCAGTTTAACGTGTTCGAAAGAAAATATTCTGAAGAAAAAAAGGAAAAAGAAAAAAACAAAAGAAAAGAGTACAAGTGAATCAAAAAATAGAATGAACGATCATGAGAAAATCGATTTCAATTTCCACGATTACTCCGCAGCAACCCTTAGAAAGATTTTTCAACGGACAAAAGATGTTCGATCTCTTGTGATTTCCTCATTCGTTTGTCCAGTCCGTTTCTTCCGGCGGCGGAAGTATCTCCATTTAATCTCGGCGACCATCGCGAACAATACCTCCATTAGTTGACTTCCGACTCAGCCCATTTCAACCCTCTTCTCTTCTGGCATTCCTCATCTTTTTCCATCTTGCGAGAAGTCGCGTGTCTTTCTACTCCTCTACATAATACGATCGTAAATGTCTAATCTTCTTCTTTTTCTTAGCAAAAATCATCAAAGTCAATTAATCGATTCATCAAGATATCATGAAAATCTTTGACCCGTTATCATTCCTTAGTATGACGAACGAACAGCCATATTCTTCTTCATGAAGAATTCGTTTAGGAATTTTGTTAAGAACAAAATTCCTAAAACGAAATATTTCGTTTTTTCTAGCAAAACATTGTACTCCTGGAAACTTAGTCCAGGCAGAGAACGTCTAGCTACGCTTCAGAATCGCTTGAACACTCCTCAGCCTCGGGATCAATTTGCTCTTCTTCCTCTTCATCTTCGTGATGATAATCGCCCGTCTCTTGTTGCCATTTGCTGACGTGATGGGTGTTCTTATTATTACTGTTGTTATTTGCGTTACCACCACCACCACCACCACCACCACCCCCACCTCCACCACCACCAGACTGCTGTTGCGCCTTTGCTTCCTCCTCTTGCTGCATTCTCTTATGTTTCGTTCGCCGATTTTGGAACCATACCTTCACCTGAAACAAAAAAGATAATGATTTTATTAAATTAATTTATTTCAGTTGAAATCATTTCATTTAATAGTAATGTGTTTAAAAAAATCAAAGTTTACGGTAATTATGTATCATATATTTGTTCTTTTATTAATTAATTTATAAGCTGATTAAAAAAAATGAAGAAAAAATGAGTTAAAATTCTATTTAGTGATAGACATTCATGAGTCATTAGAAACTTTAAAAGATATCCTAGGATGAATAAACTTAATTAAATTTCAACTGAAATCATTTTTATCATTAAGTGTTAAGAAATTACTTGTTTCTACGTTATATATAATCACTTCATATTACTTTCCCTTAGTTCCATTAAAACTTTTCTCATCAATTATTAATTATCAGTTTTAAAATATACAAATAACCCTATATTTAGAATGACTTAAATCGTTATTTTTGTTGAACGATATTACAGATTAGTTCATTTATATTTCAATTATATACTTTCAATATTTAATAATTTGTATTCGGTAGGAATAGCAAGATTACTTTATACGCTTTTTGTCCTCGTCTTATATACAGATATTTAATTTATTCTTTTTGTCTTTGTCTTTCATACGTTCGATCGTGTACTTTGCTCTTTAAAGAATTAATCTTGTTTAGATCAATTCAAAATCTAACGAAGAATAATAGCTATTATAGAGGAGAAACGATTAAACAATCGAATAAAGTCAGTTTGAAATCGTCAGCGAGAGCAAAGGATAACAATTCCCTAATATCGTAATGCGAGAATCAGCACATTTCTTCTTAAAAATTAAATGTTCTTAATTAAAATAAGTAAAACGAAAATATATAATTTGTTTGCAGCATTCTTTTGTGTAAACAATGACCATCCATACTAAGCCCTGATCCTTCCGTCTTTCCATTCCGCGAACTCTTTCATTACGAAGGAAGCAAAGATCCGATCGACGAAAAGAATATGACAAAGGGGAATATTTCCTTACAGTTTTCTAATATTAAACGCCCTCTAAATTTGTCGACCCATACTAAAATAACCTATACATATACTATACTGTAATTTTCATGAATTCACTCGGATGCAATTCCATGTGTAAATCTCCAGCATATCCCTTTACACCCTAGCTACCCCATCATTCGACCGTCGTTACACCGATGGATAGTCAACGATACAGACGATCAAGCTCATTGGACCAATCCGCTTGAAAAGGAGACATGAAACTTTCACCCTCGGGATCGTAGTCCCGTAGTTTGGCAAATTAAGTGGCAACTAGTTATGGAACCAACCCCTATTCCTCTTAGTAGGAACGAGTCGATGTATCAAGCAGCCACCCTTAAACGCAGTTATCCGGTTACAATAGCTCGTGTGCTGTGCTAACATGGAACCCCTTCGATCGTCGAACTAGAGGGAGGGGATGAAAGAGAGAGAAAGAACAAAAATGAAAGCAAAAGAAGGGATAACTTTCGTACACATGCTCTCTTTATGGAACGAGAAAGGCAGAGGACACTATTGTCCTTGAATTGACTGCACCATCGTCGTATTTCATGGCGAGAGAAAGGGCTGTAGATAGAGTGCCATTTTGAAGTTATCAAGCTGGAAAATCGACATTGTGCTCGAGTTCCAAGAGGAAAAAAAGAATAGAAAAAGAATAGAAAAAGAGAGAGAGAAAGAGAAAGAGAGAGCGAGAGACAGAGTGAATGATCGACCGGATCTCGTCCCACGTCCAACACAACGTAGTTTTGACGAGACCCAGATTAGACTCAGCATTTAGGATCAAAATCAGAATAGTATATGAACGGAAATCTCTCTCGTAGGGTGTAACTATTTACAAAATACTTTCGGTCTTGTTTATCAGTGACGATTCTACGCATCAAAGAAAGAATTATCATCCAACAAAAACAAAGATATTCAACGTATCAAAATGCAATGAAGTAATTGCAACTTTTACTGTGTCTCCGATGTCACATAAGTTTCACATAAAATTCGTTAAAATCGTGAAATCGTTGAAATCGGACGATTTTGCAATGTCCGAAAGCAGCACTCACCGAATCACAAGTTTTATGCCCGTAGGGAGACTCTTTGGGGTCGTGGCACTTAACGGGTGATTAAGAGGGCAAATAGAGAGCAACCCCTTCTAGCGAGCACGATATAGTTTTCTTTCTCTCTCTCTTCTCTCTCTCTCTCTTTCCTTTACAAGCTTCCTCTTTCCTTCTCGTAGCCATTCCCTTTGGGAGCGTCGTTCCAAGCTTAATCGAGTTACCCCTATCGCATGTTCCTTCCCTCTTTCTCTCTCTCTCTCTCTCTCTCTCTCTCTCTCTCTTTCTCTCTTTTTCTTTCTGTCTCTCTCATTTGCTCTTTCTCCGTTGGTTACCACGGCAACGAACGTGAAACTACGACCCGATTGGTAGATCTCTCACGCACGCGAATACTATGAGCATCCCCTTCCACAAAGTCCCGGACCATCTCCCAGAATATAGACAACTTCACTCCCTTCCCTTCATCCGTTCTTCCCCTAACTTTCTAAAGTACTCACCCCATCCCATTGGATTTCGGATTTACGCTTAGTTTCAACCCCGACTCTCTCATCCCTTCCTGATCCGCTCTTTATACCTACTTCTTTCCATCGACTTCCTCAGATTCCATCAATTTTAACAACATTCTAACTACTCTAATACCATCTATCAGGAATATAAAGTGACTTGGAAAAAGTAATCGTAAGGATCTTTAGAATTGTATAAGTCTTTCTTCTAAAACGAACAATATGACTTAGATCTGATATTTTTATTTGATTTATATTATTTTAATTTGAATAAAATATAATATTTAAAATATTATTTATGATATTTCAATCGGAATAACTATCATTAATTCATTTTGATTAATTTTCTATCAGAACGAAAATACAATTTTTCAAAAAAATTACATAGAAGAACTTAACTAATAATCAATGACACCTATAAATCACCCATAAAAACTCTATTAAACACGTAAGTAATTTCGGTTTAAAAAATATCCTTCGTGTTAAATAAACACACACTACACAGATTCAAAATACAAATAACAAAAGATGATACTAAAGGAAAAGAGAAGAAAAATAAAATCTATCTGCACGCACCTGTGCACATACAACAATATATTAGAAAAATAAAAAGAAGTTAAAGAAGAATAAGAATAAGAAGAAGAAGAAGAAAACGAAGGGACTATTAAAAGAAGAAGAAGAAGAAGGATAAGAAGAGTTCGTACTACGTTTGTTTGTCTGTCGGTGTATGTGTATATGTATGTTTTTAGAAAGGCGCGTACGACTGTCACTGGCGATGTGACTCGCATATAAGGTGTTCACCTGTCACTTAGGCGCGTTCCAGAAACAGCCTCAATTACGTGGCTTCGCGCAAACTCACCGAGGAAGGTAGGTAAGCTCTCTCGGTGCTTAAGTCCGGCTGTTACCCTGTTCAACTAAAAGTCCGAGGTAACGCCGGTTAACTTGCCTGGTCTCTCTCTCTCTCTTCCTCTCTTTCTCTCTCTCTCTCTCTCGCTCTCTCGCTCTCTCTCTTTCTCTCTCTCTCTCTCTTTCTCTCTCTTTCTATGTAACGTACCTACGTACTCGTTATCTCGTCCGAACGATCAACAGACACACAGTGCGCGTGAGCGTTTCCAACTTGCAATCTTGCGAGCCCAGATAGATAGCCGACGTCCTTTCAGCCTCCTCTGCAATCTCCACATGCGCAGGACTAAGATTTTTTTCTTCTTCTTCTTTTTTCTTCTTTTTTTCTTTTTCTTTTTATATCTTCCTTTTTTCATCTCTTATTTCTCTATCTTTTTCCTTCAACGACTTTAATTTCGATCTTGGCCGATCGACAGAGATGGTATTGCCTGTAATTGGTTCCGTATCGATGAATGATACCCTCTTTAAGATGCCACGCCGCTCGAACGATCTATTCACTGATTTCTTGGAAAATGGTACACCCTGGTACGGACGATCTTCGATGAATCTTCCTGAATTCCGTTGCACTGATGTTACATTTTCAAGAGAGTATCCTTTCGTGTGATCATTGTCCTTTTACGTGGATATTGGTTGGTATTAATTATCGGCGAAAGAAGAAGATTGCGTTCTGTACATAACCGTTTTTGTACTCTCTAATTACAAGTTGATTTTATTTAACTGTTACTCGAAGATATAAATATGTTTCAATTCGAAAAATAAGAAGAACATGGTACCTGTTAAAAAAGTATAATTTGTTAAGTTGTAATTTGCTAAAAATAGTTTGAAGATATCTTTTAATTCCTATTCGTATTTGTATTTGCTGATATACATCGACCAAGTAAAAAAGAGAGAAAGAGAGACAAAGAAAGAGAGAAAGAGACAGAAAGAGAGAGAGAGAGAGAGAGAGAGAGAGAGAGAGATGATGATGTCAGTAAATTTAACAAAAAATCTTCTTATTTATATCCTTTTACGGAGTCATTCGAACTAATACGTAAGTACCTACACGATAACAATTATACATAATACTACACGTAATACTTATACCTGTAATATTTGTATAATAACTGATAATGAGATCAAGCTGAATTTATATATATAGATAATTAATGTAATATAATATAATAAATGTAATAAATATTAATAAAATAGATATAAGATAATTATAGTAATAATATATAGATAATTAAAATATATATTTCGCAATTAACAAGGAAATATATGTATTTATATATTGTGCTTATAAAATCTGCTGAATTTCCTAAATAAAGTTTTTAAGTTTTCACGCTATATTTCAACATTTTGACATTTATTTCAATTAGAAAATAAATCGACTTTTTCGAATAAAATCCAACAAATCTGTAACTTTGACAGATATAAAAAAACTTATTTTGATTTCTTAGTTATTCTTAATCATTCCGTCTGATATTCTTAACCTCCATCACTCTTTTCCCTATTTCGAAATAGCTCGCATAAGCGAGAATAATGAAAGCGTGCTCGAGCTTCAGGATATCACTTTGGTATGCATGG